TTGTGTATACATACCTACAATATTATAGAGAAACCTTTGAACTATTTGTGTAGAGATATGCGCCTTCGTAATATGTTTTTACAATCCACAAAAACGGATCAAAAGAAGTGCTTTCCTTTACTAGATATGGGTGAGTGGGAGGTCTTTGTATAGATAGATCTGCATTCCATAATTCTTTTTCTAAATTGTTCCGAAATTGAATAAAGGTTTTTTGTGGCAAATGGATAATTAAAATTCAGCCATCATCATAATCATCGAGTAAAATAAAAATGTCTGCGGTAGCCGGTTACAATTTTAGAATCGAATCCAAAGATTAATAATATTTCTTGTGTTTTGAAGTGTAATTTTTATGATTGGGTGCCCTACATAAATTAAGAGTAGATCTTAAGATATCGTTTAAAGTAAGACGTTTCTAAACGAATTTGTAATTCATCAAGGGGTTGTAAGCCTTTGCTAATCTTCAAGTGTGAAGATGTGGCCCTCAAGTACGGCTCAACGATTAAAGCGAATATGCTTTTTGATGTTTATCTGTGTACGTAGATTTTTAGCAATCTCATGTAATATATTGGAGTAGCTCATTAGGCTGCTCAATACGGCACGAAATAGATTTTAGAACTCAAATAACTTGTTCCAGTAGAGCAAATACTATTTATAGAGACCTGTATATGTACGAATATGGACTGATGACGATGACTTCTATGGATGCATAGGTACTATTAACTAAATCTTAAAAGAGCAACAAGTAAACGTTTTCTCCGTAAATTAAGGGTTTACTTTATCGAAACGAAATCAATTACTATTTTTATTTCAACCCATTAGGTAAGTAAGTAATTTTCTGTGGGCTAACTTTGTAGAAAATAGTAGGTTGGTAGAAACATCTCAATTGGAGTCTGAGTCTTAATAGCGTTACCATCAATTAAAACTTGCTTAGCATTTTACAAATTGCATTTCTGTGAACCGCGGTCGGTTACACAATGTCAGCCAGTTACTCGTAAAAGTTAGAATTTTATTTCAAAAGTTTAGTCTACCTATAAATAATTAGGAGATTTTTGAATCAAGTAATAATATGTTTTAATATTAAAATTATCTCACTGCATAACTCTAAGGTTGACTGTTAGAAAATGCCACTAGGCATTAACTCCACTGTTATATATTGTACAAGATGTATATGTATAAATATAAAATAAATAAATTAATTATGTCCTTTTGCCATGGACGAATTTGACTTTTTAAATTGCAATAAAATCAAAAATATTTTACTAAAAAGTAAATGCTTCATTGTCGGCAGGTAAATATTTCATTCACCGACATCTAAAGCCCTTGGATTTAAAAGAATTAAAATGTGCACAAGACTTTAATGAAAAAATCTCGAATGCTTTCTGTGAATACAAAGATCTTTCTTACCATAATTTCAACTTACATATGAAGGAGGTTCCCTTTTCTTTAGCGTATATGGTATTATTTCCCACATTTGGTGGATATAGCCTCTCCCCATGTAATGAATGAAATCTACATTTTCATGCATTTCTAAATGCATTGAGCTTTTCACTTATTAATAGCCTATGATTGATCGTCGTTTAATATGAGTTAATTGCTGGACTTTGGACCATCTCAAGATAAGAAAGATTTGCTATAGTCTTTACGAGCAGGTGAATTGTAGATAGCATGTTAAAAGATTTAGGTTTATCAGATGTAGGATATAAATGGGTATATGGGTATAGGGTGTCAGTGGGTGATAGTATAAGGTGTCATGTGTATGTGAACTTGTATGTTTGTAAACGCACCCACGACACAGGAGATAATCCTAGTGTAGGGCAACGTTTTATTAAAAAAAATAAATAAATAAATAAATCTAATGTTGCAAGACTCATTTTCAATGCGAGATCCTCATTAAAAATGTAGGTACTATACTTTACTTGTTATTAAGAGTAAAATGAAGAGTTCGTAAGAGTCGTGGTATTAAGTTGTGACGATCATTAATAACAGTGTGAGGTGACAGAAATAACGAGAGTCATCACTTCACACGCGAGCAAAGGCCAGCTTAGTTAGTGCTGTATATAATTTATGCAAACAATTTGATCTTTTTTATAATTGGTGTTTGTATTTTACATACAGGAATTATATAGACGAGGACGATAGAATTCTCAAAATCTTCATTTAAAATTTACAAGTCATAACTTCAAGAAAATTATCGTTACATAACATATTTTATTCGAATATTTTCCGTTTTGAAACTTTATCCTGTTTATTTCAAATAAAAAAGATCCAATCAAAGTAGATCTTCCGCAATTGATTGTAAACAAAAAATTATTCGTGACCCTTATAATAAAAATATGAGTACTTTTCGTGTAATTGAATTAATTTTATCGAATATTACTAATTATATTTAATTACTCTGTTTATTGCTTTCAAATATCTGTAATAAAATTTTACGTAGCAATTTCGTAGCACTGAGTCACTACGCCGTAGCCGTAGTAATGAAATCGTTCGTAGTGATGACAATTTAAACGAGTAAGCGATATGTGAGCGTAAGTAGCATACGTAGATTCGTGTTTGGTGCGTGTGACGTGTCAGCACGTCACGTCAGTAGTGATAAGCGTGATTGATGACGTCATCGCGACATTTGTCCGCGGGGGAGGGTCGACGACACGCACATTACCCTACTTGTTGAGCCTTCCATCAACCTATAACGACAGTTTAAGGGCCGTACATCTATATCCATGGCGTCAGCCATATTGACTGACAGCTCATAAATTCACATACTTATTCTCACGCTTGCGATATTTCGTGAATGTCAGTCGCAATGTGATGATAATTCCATGACACGCAAATATATTTAAGCTCCGGTTACCTGCGCGTAATTATGGTGTAATTTTCAGAGACGGTTGCCTCTGCAGAAATATATGCGAACAAAATAAAAATGCTTTGGAAGACCTGTATTTGGCTGACCTGGGTACAAATTAAGAAATTTTATTGGTTTTTCACAAGATATCTATGATTTCAATTTACTTAACACGTTAAACGCCATGGGGGTCACCGGTGACCGGCGTTAGCGGAGGATTTACGTTCAACAGTTTTTTATTGGCAGTCAGTCTTAATAATTTTATTCGCACGTAACTTTACAATTACACGTCCTCAGAAAATGGCTGTATAGCTCGGACACAACATAAAAAGGGGTTAATGCTACCGTACACATAACATCTGGTTATGCTTGGCAGAACGTGTGCAAATGGCGGATATACCGGTGGATAATTCGGACAAATGAATGCTCCCCTCTAGCGGAATAAAAAGGTTAAATATGAACGTGATAAACGAGTCTCGTACCTGCTCGAGTGTCGCATATTCAGCCATAATGTTTAACAGCTACTCGTAATAAGATTCTAAGAAATAAGCCCATGACATGTAATCCCTTAAAAAATCTTTATAAATGAATGCTTCTTTATTTTAAGAATTGATTTTTAATTTGTAATTTAATTTAAGACTTTGATTAATTTATGGCTTTGTATGGCATACAGATTATGTAGATATGTACATAATTTCTAAGACAGAACTCTATTCTTCAGACAATAAGTAATATTTTAAAGTAGTGTTCTTTAACGTAAATATTTTTGAATGAAGTCGAGCGGCAATTTCATTTATTCTGCTACACACAAAGTATTTATTGAGAGGATCGATCTTCACATTACTATTTGTCTATGGTCCTAGAAAGGAGAAAGGAATAAAGACTTACTTGAACAAAACAAACGTTATATCAACTACTTGTATTGATACTGAATCCACATCAATGTAGTTCTACTTCTTAGACAATAAAAAGAGTCTCAATGGCTTAGTGACCTGATGGCGTTATCTACCTACTGCAAAATACTTATTTGATTGTATAATCTTGTTGACCTTTGCCTAAAAATTTGTCTGATGATTTACTGAACTGCTTTGTTAGATTAATGCTGGCAAGTGCGAAGGCTAAGCAAGGTGCCTTTAGTTCGTTTTCTGGGTCAGGCATAATTATATTTAGTTATGTATAAGTTAGGTTCATTACAAGAGGTTTACATTAGATGATTTTAGATGCAAACTTAACATCATATAAATGATCTTACGTACGTATATGACACTCCCTCTCGCCTCACTCAAGGCGGGAGAAGCCATATGATGATTTTCCCCCTCAAATAAAGCGTGCATATCTACTCAACCATTGATATGTACTTAGTTTCAATCTTCGGATATACCAAAGGGTTATTCGAGTGAAACAATTGACCACACAAAGTTCCATGTGTAAGTTACAAATCCAGTCTACAATCAGTTATTCAAGTGGGTAGAAGAGGGTCTGATCTCTAAAATAGTCTTGATCTGTTGTCTCGCATTGCATAATTAATGCATGTATTTATTTATTTATTATTGGGGAAAATAGAAGCATGAAGGATGTATCATTGAACGTTTAACATAGAGGTAAAGTAAAGTACTATCTAGAAAAAATATCAGATAAGAATAAATATCCGTTTATGTGATTAGTTTTGTTGTTGATGTTGAAAACTTTTACTAGAATGCCAATATCACTTTTTGTACATCTTACGTGCTCTTCTGCTTTTGTATATACTTTTCGGGAAAATCTCAAAAACCATTTAACATTAATTAATTATTTACTAGCTTCTGCCCGCGACCGTTCGTGATTTTCGGTAAAAAGTAAAAAAAAGTATTGTAGGTATAAAAAGTATCCTATTTCCGTCTCCTGGTTCTAAGCTACCTCCCTGCCAATTTTCATCTAAATAGATTGAGGCGTTCTTGAGTTATAAATAGTGTAACTAACACGACTTTCTTTTATATACCTCTATATAGATGATACTACCATTATACAAAACATCACGCTATCAGCCACGTCATTAGCTAACAATTAGTTAATTAGCAACTATGTCAATTATGTCATGATTTTGATATAATATTGATACAGAATATTGCAATGTTTTGAATTAATTAATTACTAACGTAATGTTTGTATTGTTTCAGTCATGTCTCCAAGTTTCGTGTTTGCGTTGGCCGTGTGTGGGTTCGCGGCAATCTGCTCATTGCCTGTCACCAATGCGCAGGCGCTCGTTTCTCCTTATGAATGTAAGTGGATTGCAAATTAATATTGTAATTGAAATGCAGGGTCAAACTTTGAGAATTAATTTATGTATGTAGCGACGTAGTTCTTCTATAAGTGGGTTAAGCAATTTGGAATCGAGTTCAGTACAGTTTCGATATAAAAATCACCTGACTCCTTTTTGATACAGGTATATTGAAACATGACTACCTAAATCACTCAAAAGCACTTATTAACAGAGATAACCATAATTAACTTTAATTGCAAGTCTTATCTATCAATGAAAACTTTCCAAAGAAATCTTCAACAGGATCTCTTAACTTTAACAAGAAAATCAACTCGTAATAGAATAGTTTTAACCCCATATCGAGTTCAATTGCACGATTCAGCCTATTATTACGTGAAACTTAACCGAGAGAGAATAGATAGTGGGTGTAGGAAAATACAATGCCTCCTAAAGAACCTTTTAGTGATCACTTGCGTGACTATTGTGTAACTTAATACTAACTTAACCATCAATACGTTTATAAAAAGTTATATTACGTATCAACTTTATACATCGAACTCGGTTATATCTCGTTGGTCGAGTCACCAGCACGACTGCCGAGGGATCTTGGTTTCGAGTAGGTACCAGATGAAAATTTGTTTTTCTAAAATTCTTAGTAAGATACACAAGCTTGGAAATGAGTTCTATGTATAGTAATAGGATTGTCCGTAACAAGGGAGGACTAACACAATATCATTAATACAGTACAATAATAAAGTCCACCTCGTCCAACCCCTTCCTGGAATGAAATACATCATGTTGTATGTTTATACCTCTACAATACTGAGAATTAAGCATCAAGTTTTAGGAACGAGGTCTTTCAAGGCTTTTCGCATCTATCTCGCGCTAAAGAGATATCATTTTAATACCAGATGATTGCTCAAATCTTTTCTACGTGCCTCTACATATTTTGCGCTACAAGCGAATAATTTGGAGGATTTATTAAGATTCGTTATTACACCTACTTGCTTACATCTTAGTAGGTACCAGGAAAGTCTAAATGAACTCTTTTCTTGTATTACATAACGTTCATCATCAACAGCCTATAAATGCCCACTGCTGAGCAACGCCTCTTCTCGCATGGAGAAGGTTAACGGGTTGACGGGTTGACGATTACAAACTTATAACTAGAAATTATAAACCCACGTTTCCTTCCGATGTTTTCCTTCACCGTTTGTCAGTGGTGTCTAGATAATCTTAGAAAGTACATGTAACTCGGGAAAAGTGACATTGGTACTTGCCGTTGGAAGGTTTCGACGCCGCACTTCCCAACGCTCAAACCTCCAAGCCACCACGACATTCATAACGTAACGTTACGACTTTTAATGCATGAAGGGATAGGCACAGACACATTGTAAGATATTATCTTCTTATCACTACTTTATATAATGAGACGCATGAAATAGATAGATTAATGCCATAATTACAGATTTCGTGCTATTATTAATAAAAACTTATGGAAATCGAACCGAAAACCTCTTACCTACTCGGCATTTGAAGTCATTTTCATTTTAGCCATTAAGTAATTGGAAATGGAAATATTTGGGTGTCTGTTAATTATGATCTTACCAGAATACATTTGAATGATTTTACTATTGTAAGGTTAGAGTAACGAAGCTTTCATCCTTGAAATTACGCCGGTGTAGGCAGCTTGTTTTATAGGTAACAAGCTTCTGCCCGCGACTTCGTACGCGCAATTCCGTGATTGTGAGTTTCGGTAAAAATTAATAAAAAAATTATTGAATAAAAAGTATCCTATGTCCGTTTCCTGTTTCTAAGCTATCTCCACGCCAATTTTCAACCAAATCGATTTAGCGGTTCTTGAGTTATAAAATGAATAGTGTAACTAACACGACTTTCTTTTATATGTATAGACAAGGTATTGAAGGCAAAATATTGGATTTATATTGAGACATATCATTTAAGTAACGTTATCACGTTTGACACACAGAACGACACTGAATTAAAATGAATCTATTCATAACATTTTTAAAAAACCAACTTTATTCTACCTACTACTGAAACCGATTCAAGGCGAAACATTTACATTTGTATTACCAATATGAAGCTACCTATTTCCAAGGTAATGTTTACATCAATACAATTCAATAAGTTGTAGATGTGTGCAATACTCATTATCGCAAGAAATACAGACTTTGCAAAACTGTATCAAAATTGTAGGTGATTAATATCTCCTACGATTGTCACAAAGTAAGAAGCAAACTCTATGATATTCTTCTATAAACATAAGAATTTATACATCTCGTGATAAAGGTGACCATTACACACAAGTTGCTGCTTATACGAGTGTCTCGTATGTTACAAGAAGGCGATATGTCAAGCTTTTAATATGATTACTTTGAGAACAAGCGCGTAAGTAAACATATAGGGCGGTGCGCGTAAATCTCAAATACGCGTCAACATCACGTTCTCTATTAACTATCACATTACTATTACTGTAATTTCGGATCACATAATGGGGAAGGGACCTTTTGTAAGAGACGCAAATTAATTAGGATCGGAAAATATCTTTGTAGAAAGAATATTTTTGTCGTCTACTTATGCTCTGTATAAAATTAGTACCGAATACATAAAAAAATATTATATGAAGACCATTCATTTAAATGTATGCCATTCAGTTTTCGAAGTAAGGACGAATATATATAATGTGTCTAACACAACTGATAAACAAAATACAAGTTTCTCTATAACTCTTTGAAGATATCACAATTTCATCAATGTAATTAATTAAAATATCACTTAATAGGAAAACTTATAAGAGTAATTGATTAATACTTGAGTACCTTAGTGTTGAAGCTCTTAAAGTTATATTTACTGACGATTCTATTTCAAAGTAATGTTTCGTTAATTCAATCGGGCTAACTCAGAAAATTAATCAAACCGCCCGTAGGGATAACAGAGAGATTTGCATAATTTTCATCCTATTGTATGTAAGACACAATTAACCAACTAGACAATAAAAACATTTAATTTTAATGAAGTTATGAGGAATCTTGTAAAGTAATTCATATTAATGATTATTATATTACCATCGCGTTTAGTACTTTAATTCACATCGGTGTTTTCTTTCTTGCACGTTTCTTTTGGAAGATGTAGATTGTAACGATGTCCAGTAATCTCTATCTATAGGTGGTGGGTATTCAAGGTATCAAGGTCACATCTATATGATTGATTTTACAGCACCCACGTAAAATTTTTCAGATACCGTTATTTAATTTAGACTGATCCAATCTGACAATTAATCCGGTCATGTAGAATATGGACCAAAAACCAACAATACAATCGTCAAAACAAATTCTTTTACAAATTCATTAATCAAAAAACAACACGTATCAAATATTGTACGGTTCATAATTAAAAACCCGATCGAAATAAAAAATGCTATAACATGTATTGAATACTGATGTCAAATAAAATCGATTTAACTCATTTGTTACGATTCAGTGGCTGCAGGTAGGTAGGTATCTTGTTTCATGTTTTATAGGACTGTACGATTTATACATAAAATTTGCGTTTTGTATGTCGTATGAGTATTCGTTTTTTGTTTTTAAATAGGTATAGATAGCTGTAGCTAAAAGTGAAAGTTTACAATTCTTTCAGTTGCACTTAGATAAACCTTTACTGAATAATAAATTTGATTATTATTGTGATTTGCATTCAGTCGAGTATACAATATTATGTTGATTAATATATTCCATTCAGCTCTATTCCACGAACAACACAGTGTACATCAAGATTCCCCTGGAATGGTCAATCCAAGCCGCCTTTCAAGTTTCTTAATCAAAATTGAAATGCAAGGTGTGCACCGTGAATATTAACTATCCTTTGAATCCTTGTTAGTGTTGCGAAACAATTTACCTACTGCCTCATAAATTAATTATTTAACGAAGAAACTTAATATGACGACAAAAACGGAGATGCTCTCACGAAACTGTAGCTAAAAGCTTTTTTTTTCAATTGATTTTTCCTCTGACTTTTTTCCATTTTGATAAATATAAGAAAAGTTTTTTCATTGGTAGCTATTTTTGTTCCTACTAAGAAATCGCGGTAAAGATATTCGTATTCTTTATGTATTGACTCTTACACAATCAAATTCCGGCGCTGCGACTAACAAACGCCTTCGGAAACAAGCAAAGTAACGCTGAGGAGACAACCACCGCAATCCCCACGAGTAATTAATTTACAAACCACTAAGGAATCCCCTTTTTTGTTCTAGCACATTTTGTACTTCTCGGGACAATGAGGAAATCACCGTAAATGTAGTATTTTACTTTAATTCGTCTCCCTTTAGTGACAGTGATCCTATAGGCACAAACTTTCCGAGCTAATATGGCTGCGTCTAACTTCCTAGACTGCACAGCTTAGGTTGTATTACCTGTGCATATTCTCGGGTTGATACGAATTATAAACTTGGTTCCTGGGTAGCGCAAACATAATTAGGAATATCGGACTCCGCCTTTGATAATCAACGATATGTTACAGTTATTAACTAGTTACCGATACAGGATTTCAACCTTTGAGACACGTGTTTAGAATATTACTACCAGAATTCATTTATTATTGAAATTTAATATAGATACATATTGAATATGTTTGTAAAAATACGATATTTCAATATCGTCCTTGTTTCAGTGTTAATACTTTGAATAACAAAAGTACTCAAGTGAATAGTGAAGATGTTAAATTGCTTTCGTAGTGCAACAAATGATCGCGGCTCTAAGAACCGACGGTACATTATAAAGCTCCTGGAACTCAATACATTAAAAATTCTCACTACACTGTGTGTCGAGTGACAAGCGTCCATACGTCTTTACAACAGGTGGCTTGTTTCTCATGCTCGCAAGAATGACTTTTGATGTTCTCCTTTTGTGTCCGGAAAATGATATAGAACAGGACAAGTGCTTATTAAAATTGTAATTAAATAGTACCGTCTGTCCTTCACATTCATTCCATATTCATTTTCCTTATGTTATGATTTTCAAACTGAAAGTCTCTTATAAATTTTAGCTTCTCACTATATTCATTTCATGTGAGGTACGAACTATGAAGTACGAAAGTTCAAACATTTACGTAACGAAGTTATGTAGTTCGATAGGTTTATTGACTACATACCAAACACATTGTTTTGCAAACTTTCTTGTATTATTTCCTAGAAACTTGGACCTACAGCCTAGCTCCCAAGACAAGTCGGCAATGAAGCCATACTAAATAAACTAGAGCCGACCGTTTCAACAATATAATATACCTTGGAACCTACATTTTCCTCTCGTCAAAGGGATGTACGACACTTCTTTTTGAACGTATTTTTAAATTTGAAAAAATATTTTTAAACATTTTTGTGCAATTGTAGTAGGTACCTGTTTATTAAACATAGTCTTTATATCACGAATTGCTTGAATTTTTCCGGAATGAGTTATTTCCATTGATTTCATTTTTTCCCTATTTTCACGGTGTCAAAATTACAACTGAAGATTTCACGTAACATAGTAAAAATGCGCTTAAGAGGATTCGTAAGCCGTTTACAACATACCTATTATAACTTTACCGTTTTAACTTTGTATGATTGGGGGAGATTAACATGCCAGTCATTGATGACTTCTCGTAAACGACTGAATCAATTTTGATGAGTTGAATATTTGAACCGAGAACACGTGAAAGGTTCAGTGTTCGTGAACCGTTAGACTTCATAGACGGCATTGCAAATGTGACGGAACATTCTTACCAATATCACGACACTTTTTTTTTTTTTTGAGGGGGAAAATCATCCAATGACTTCTCCCGCCTGGGTGAGGCGGGAGGGAGTGTCAGACTCTTACTGACTAAAAACCACCCCGTTCCTACTCCTGCACTTCGAGCCGGAGCCCCGGCAACCCGTTAAGTCTTCCGCGGCTAATATCACGACACTAGAGTTTTATTAGTCATTTCACATGAAATTTATTTAAGAAGGAATTTTAGGTTCTTAATAGGTTCCTTTAGTCTGTAACGTATAGATATCGGGAAACTTAAAATACTCAGATATTAATTTATGGCGGATATAAATCAATTTTGCCATTATTTTGAGAGAAATTTTAAAGATAGTCCTATTATTCGCTAGAAAAATGGGATAATATTGAAAATTACTTACGTCTCGTTTATCATTACTTGAACCTTAAAGATATTGTCAAAAAATAAAGAATCATATGCACGTGTGTAGTATGACCACAGAACATCTTCTTTATATGTTCTGTGGTACGACCCACCTCTCGTGTCCTGTGCTGTGATGACAAAGTTTATTTGTATCTTTACGTGTAGTATTTTAATTTATTCATTCGTAAAATAAACAGACTAATTAACTCGTCGAGTACCGTATTTATAGACACAATTAAAGAACAATAGGTTGCGGTCACCGGTGACCGCTTGGTGTTTGACAGTTTAATATTCCATTCTGTTTTTGTTTTTAGATGGTTAATAATATTAGGCTGTATTTGACAACTCTCATAATTGAAATTCAATCGAAATAGTAACATTATTATCTGGCCATCGTTTACTATTATTTAAATAAACAACTAATAATGTATGTCTTTTTAATATTATTACTTGTCAAAAGAAAAGATTTTTCTTATCAATCGATTTAAAACCATAAAATAGTGATAGGTTACTACCTACCTAGGTAACTTTAGAGGAAAACAACTAAACGTATCGAGTGATTACATTTACCATCACTAACACGGATAATTCGATTTTATTAAGAAGTAACATACGGTTCTTCGTTGCAAGTGAAGTGGCCTACACTCTTAAATTAGTTAATGTATAATAAATGAAGACATGTTCCCGTAAATGTCACATTGATGTCGGGGACACTGGCCACGGCTGGGTGCCCATCGACCCTTAGACCGTCTCGTTCCACGTTAAATCTTACGGAGGATCTAATTTTATAATACATTGCGCCCGTGTTTACCGGAACCCCTTCTATCAAGGGTGATTGGGTAGATCGAAGATAGGAGAAGAAGTATAGATTTCTTCTTATCTTATTGGGAAAGGAAATTGGTAGGTTCTTGATAAAATTGGTGATAAATGTACTGGAAATGTCAGGCTAAGTCTAAGGAACCTTATAAGTTGAAACTAACTTAGACAAATAGGAACTAAGAATTATGAATTAAAAAGTAAAAAGCACTACTTGATAATAATTTCTTAATATTATGTGCTTATTCGACTATACTATTTGTAATTTAGTATCAATTTCATTTCCTCGTAAATTGATTCGAATAAAATGTATGAAACTTCACCATGTATAGATAAATGTGTAGTGTGTTTATATGTCATTTAAATTCAAAGTGCAATGAATAGTGTTCCGTCCCAAAGACCACAGCTACAGGTGGTGTAACCTCCACACGAGTCCAATTTAAAAATAAATGAGTTCGAGATAAATATAGAGTAGTCTTATAAGGAAGGTAGCCGGTACAAAGTGTATTTTTCTTTACGATACAGTATCGGGAAGTGAAGTACGAAATGGTGTACATTGGTATACTGTCCTATTTGAAGTACTTATACATACATTGATACTCCTTTGAGTAATATGATTTCCATCTAGACTAACCACTACAAATTATCCATAATTATTTGCTACGCAATTATTGAACATTGGTACTGTCATGTTGTATTTGGAATAGATACTGTTTTAAATTGGTTACTGCTAAAGCATCGTGATAAATAATTCGTATTGATTTTTTTTTAATGCGGACCTTTTTTCAGTTCTTGGTTTGAACTAAGGTAAATCGATATTGATGAACATATTAAGTATGCTCCACACATATCCGATGGATAAATCTTTTTAAACAAGTTAACCTGTATGTACCGCAGTTGAGTTGTGCAAACTTTCGTTTAGTCTCCCAAAAGGCTTGTCCCAATAAAACTTGCTATACAACTTATATTACTTGATTAATAAGAAAAGTTATCTATTTGACGGTTTATTTTACTCATATTTTGTGTCATGTGTAATTTTTTGTAACGAAAATCGGTACATATATGCTTGTGTAGGTACTAGGGTTCAAGTATGGAAATGTTTTAAATGCGTTTTTGGAATCTTCAGAAAATGATAATTTATGTATTTATTTAATTTCCTTCAACGTACACAACATTTGTGTAATGTTTGTCTAAGTTGTAATCCGTAACCGTCCCATGTATGTTATAACAGAGAAAGCAGTTGAATGCGAAGTCTTAGCATTCAGACGAGCTCAGACCGTATAATCTGTTACACTGAACGTAACATGGCGGACATACATGTACTAATTTATGCATCATAAACCTAAATATGAACATTGTACCAGACATTGGAAAATGGTCATACATTACAAAACTTTACGAAAATCCTATTGATAAGAAAATTGTGGTTATGTAGTTACTTATCTTTTCTCATTTTCGTAATGTGTAGGTACACCTTTTTGAAAAGAATCTTTTGATATTGAAACATGTACAGATTTGTGGTAACTTTTCGGAAAAGCATCGATACATCACCACCGCAAAGCAGAAGAACTTGGAACAAAAATCGATGGATAATGACCAAAATTTTAAATAAGGATGTTCTAATTATTACCTGAGTAAATCTATATTCTTTTTCTGCAGCATCAGCGGCAGCGGACAGTCAAAATGGGTGGGGTGCGTTAGGCGGTCTCTACGCACTACTAGCCCAGCACGACGCGCTGGGCGGCCACGCGCTCGCGCGCAAGTCTGTGCGCTCGCCGTCCCGCCGCCTGCGCTTTGGGCGCCGTTCCGACCCCGACATGCCTCCTCAAGCTCCTGTAAGTAAAAAAAAATACAAGTACTGAATTAAGAAAACAACGTTTATTGACGGACAGTAGTATTGTTACCCCACACATTATTGAAAGTGTTACTGCTATTCCTTAACCCGTCATGAAATGGATCTGAAGATATAACCACACATAAATAAGGCAATAATATGCCCTCTGAAGCACTCTTAACAAGGTCAACTGTTTGAATCACTCATATTTAGCAATTGTATTAATTTGAATACATCAGTAATCTGTCGGTTATCAACATTTCGTCGAGCGTTCGGCGGCAATCCAATAAAGTCACATCTCCGGGAGACGTCTTAGTGAATTATCTCTATCAGATTCTCATATTTAAATGTCCCACAATATTGAGTTACCTCGACGACATTTTGAGGTGACAATTTTTACTATTACATTATTATAAATGATTCTATATTATGCTAAACTAATTAAAATTGATATTTTACCGTTAAATAATGCTAAAAAAATACCCCAGCTTAATATTCCGCCAAAAAAAGTAACGAAATGTTTGATTATTCTCGACTAGAACACTTGAAAGCTTTCTTTAGGTATGTATCATCATATCTTAAACCATCAAGTTATTAAATGTCAAACTAGTCTACAAAATTAAATTAATCTATCTACTACCGCTACAAACTATGAGTCAATCCACTGAACCACTCACCTCGTTAATGAAAGACGGGTGAATGGGGCAAATACCTGTATGTGCATTGCGAAATGAAAATGAATATAAACAAACATCAGAAGTGAAGTCTAATCTAGAGTCTAGTCTTTCAACCTTTTTACGATGCATCCCCTTTATGTAGGAAAAATGTACAATGATTCTCTACTCTTCTGTTTCTATTTTCTCAGAATAGCTTTTGCAAATAGGATTATGATGAGATTTACTAAACATCTATAATTATGTCATAAAAACATTGTTAACATGATTTTTAAATGAATATTCAAACAGATCTATTTTGTTGTTGTTTAGAAAACAAAATGTACAGGAAATTCATATTTAAAACGGGAAATAAACGTAAAGAAACCTAAATAAAGGAACGTTTAAAGTGAAGAGGTAGACGCAGGTCTTCCACAGAACCGCAGCGGTTTTGTGAGTGAAGCTCGGAGGCTGTAAGTGTTTCTCGAGTGGATAATGCATTATAATGTTCACCGACGACCAGATAACGTTACACACAGCTACCTACTCACTTGCTCGGTGACGTAAAAGCTATCTCTCAGCCTTCCTTGCGTATTTTACTCTTTCATCGCCCTTCCGAACTGAACGAGTATGATGCGACATTATTGGTTAAGTCGAAAATTTAAAACGAACAGTGCGCAGTGCTTCAATCTCGTCTTATTAAACCCGTGTTTTATTATTACGTAGGTAGGTAAGCTAAATATTTCTAAGTTCGACTTTTTGAGCTATATTAGTGTCGTTGCCGATATAGTCGCGAATATAGCAAGCACCAGGTTTGCACATTCAGTTCTGCATTGGAGTCAGTCACTCGTCAGCTTCACATTGATTTTTGTAGCTCCTAGACTTAACATGCTCTCTGAAGTGTGCAAGCGTCTTGATATATAAAGACGAACGAGAATGATTTATCTACAAAGAAAACACAGCAAGACTGTGCCCTGTAACTTATGTAGTCACGACCCCTCACTTCTGTGTTCAAATCAAGACAAAGCCAATTTCATTAAATCCACCCCATTCATTCTCCAAATCTTTTATTACGTCTTCTATGTTGTCTTGTTCAAAGATCTTAATTGTTAAGTTGTCCTCAACATACGTCACAACCGTACCTTTCATCTTTTTGGTAAATTATATCTTAATTTCCTAAACCAGTGAATGCGCAAAGTAATTCGATTTGTCATATCTGACTTGTTCTGAATTATCAGTTCACTCTGAGCGAGTAGTATGAACTGAACATATTGACTGTTTGTATGTAGTGGTTTTTTTTAGTTAATATTAGTATCTATGTTTACAGACAAAACTTTAGCTTTTTAGGTGGGGACACAATCATGTGTATGCACATTTGCTCAGTAAAATACCTACCCAATTAAATGATTTAGTGTTTACATTTTTATAACAACAATGAAGTGTTATATAATTTTCACATAAACTTGCAGTTTTTAACAAGCAGTAATTATATAAAGCCTTTATGAAGCTAAGTTCAGATAACGAACGCAAACTTTTCTTAATAAAAATACTCGTAACCCTAACCTCCTCATAAACGGTAGTTAGTAATTAATATCGAGAGTATACCTAAAAGAGGTTTAGAAAACTTGCTTACACCGGCTTTAGACCGCTAAATGGAAGTAGCCGCTGAATAAAGTAATTTAGTTCGAGGTATTTGCAATATTCAGTGTTGACCTGTGTTTGACGTTGTGTAAAGAAAATAGAGTTATTCACTGAGATATATTTAAAAAAACGAAGTAGAAACTATTTTGTCATCTTATATTTATGTGCAAAGTTAACTTTAATTAATACTTACTCGTGCGCTATTGTCCCACAATCTAAAGAGGACATCCTAATACGAGCCTTACATAATATACCTTGTGTAAATTTCTTTCGTAATCCTACTTTCATCTATCAACAATGTCTATATTTTTATACCCGCACATCGCCGAACGCGTCATTTTCAAGTTGAACGCATTTGTATAACTCAATTTTGTTAACTTATACACCCTTTCATCCCTAATTTTATGAAGCCCCGTCTTATCCCTCGCCCCATTAGATCTCCATATATGAACAACAAGGTATAAATTAATAGTTTTGCCCTTTAATATTAGGACACCTATAATTTTAGCGATAAAATTATCCGCTTCAGTAAACTTTCGTGTTTTCGTTACTTAAATATTTTATTAGTATCTGTTAGACATTATGCCGTTAGTGACCACGAAAATTTAAGAAGTTTGGCACAATATTAAAGATGTATATATAATGATAAAAGCTATGGTCCCCACCTGTGTACTGTGAAGGTATTTAGGCAGTTTCTCTGCAAAATGAGAACATTTTAACAATTTCTTTTTAGCTGACTTCAAGATTTCCTTGAAAAAGTTTTAAATGTGAACGTTATTTTGTGAAGGTTACTAGGCTAATATTTGGGTTAGTGGGGTTCTTGTACATGTTGTTTTATGAATAAAATGAGGCGACTATAATGGAATCAAAATCGTATATTTTGTTTAAATTACGGAATATTCAAATACGTTTTGTTACAGTTGGACGAGATGAATGAACTGCTTTCTCTGCGCGAAGTTCGTACTCCCGTGCGCCTGCGCTTCGGCCGCCGATCTGAAGAACGCGCTGTACCCCACATTTTCCCCCAGGAGGTAATAAACAACAATATGACAATGAATAATCTTGATGTATTTATTAATGAAGGGGTACATAAACACCTGTTTTCTATTACGTATGTAGATTTTTAGCAAATCTCGCATCAGTACTCTACATATTTTTCGCTCTTAAAATTGTTTATTTTTGAAATCTTCTATTTCTTCAACTAATCCCAATAAACCTAGATAATTATATTTTTAGAGGATTATTTTCATTTCAATAAGACTAAGTAGGTATAGCTAATAAGCCTACATGGCACTCCGCAAGTAGTAACAAAACTGCAATAGGAACTTATAGCAGCCTATACAACACCTCGTAAAACTATAAATATCTTGTGAAAAGCGACGTATCTACTCCAATATCCTATTGATTCGAACATCGTAAAACCCTTGATGTCGTGTAAACCCGAGTAATGAAGTTATTCTCTCTAACAAGCCACTATAAGATCTTTTACGACAATTGACCAAGTTTTATGACCGACCTTTTTGTAAAACAATCGGACGATACCATTATTTGTAAAGCAAATTGTATTATCATTACCGATTAGATTACGTTTTAAAGTCTGATAGGCAGTACTTAATGACCTATAAACGACCATTTCGATACCTAAATTATATTGTATAGCTTATGTACTTATAAGTATTTACGTAAGTTAATACGACAAAGTTCGTAAAAGTCTTTAATCACACAACTTTTAAAACTACTGAAGTGAAACCTGTTTAAGTTCGTATAAGTTTACAAACACACGGTAATGTTTTAAGAAATTCAGTTTTCGTAATTTTAGTAGAAATTCGTTACTAGTACTTATAAAGTTGCAATTGACGTCATTGGTTTAATAATAAAATGAACTTTACTAGTAGCTATATATTATACTAACAACGCTAGTTTTCAAAAGCAACGTTAATATTAGTCAAATTAGAATGAAATTGGCTACACCCTATGAGATAATCATGTCATTAAACATGTGTCATGTCAATAAACATGTTATAATTAGAAGCAAAGCGTGGGGCGTTGATTACGGAGAATCTTTTTACAACTTTTATTCTACAGAAATGACGACAAACAATGATCTAATTGAATCAATCAATTGCTGTATGACATGTAAGGGGTGAGGTTAATATTTGTGCACCTCCCAATCCCCAGGGCATTTGAGAGCTGTCAATAATTATGTTACGTTATTTGCACGACATCGTTACTAATAATCCCACCCTTTATAAAGACCATGACGTGTAGGTTTGGTCGCGGTTTGCCCTACTATTTAAAGAGGAGTTATTAGATTAAATTCATGTGAATCAATAATGTAGAGTTTATTTGTTGTAGAGATGAAATAGTCATCGTTATTACTTTTGCTTCAATATATAAATAAAAGTTTCATAACAATAATTGGCCAATGTTTAATTAAAACTTAACTTGCAAAGATGTTTTACTAATGTTGTTGTAGTCAATCCATCACAATTACAATGTAAACTTACAGCTATTATATATTGTCATTTCAATTATTAGTAGCTCGTTTACATGTCCTCCTGAGTTTGATATATTTGTATAATAATTGAAGTTTAGTTTTTAAAACAGGAGCAGGACCGTGCCGTACGTGCCCCTTCCATCCGTCTCCGGTTCGGACGCCGATCGGACAACAACATGTTTCTACTCCCCTACGAAGTAAGTCAATTCATCAAATTCAACCATTAGATGTTTTGTAACCATTTTGTCCCGTTTACATTACCATTATAAAATTATTTCTTCCAACTTTTTGAAGTAGGTATAAATTATTCACAGCAAACTAAAAGCCGGTCATAATTATACACTTACAGACTCAAATGTAAATGCGACAAAATATTTGTTCTGTTATTTTCTGTTTCCCGTCCTATTTAATGTTTTATGTTCACAACGTACTAGTTACTCAATTCTTAATATTCCCAACTTATAAAATTAATAACATGTACAGTTTTCTATGCGGATGTTAGGTTCCGGGTACTGTTCAGACACCGTGCATTACTAATGTTGTATAAATTTTGTTCCAGTCGGCCCTGCCTCAGGAAGTAAAAGCTAACGGCTCCGTGGAAGACGACAGACAACAGGAATAAACGCAACATATCCGTATACATCTACATATAAATATACCCGCCCCCGTCAACACTTTTATTAACAATTCTTTATGAGGGCACTACGTCCCATCAGTACATAATTATGTGTCATATTAAACAAATACAATCGATTTTTAGATGTTATTCGACTTAATTGTAAGCTATGTGTACATAATAATCAGTTAGTACCTTGTATGTTTTAACCGATATATAATTAGACGAAATATATCTTTAACTATTATATCAAACTTTTACTCAGTTCGTGGAATTGGTAAATAAAATAATATTTGATTGACTTGTCGAATGCTTTCTTCAGCAGCTAAAAATGTTATAAATGTTATTGATATCGATGATATTCTAGTCAATATGAAGTAAGACTGTCTCTTTTATTTGATCTCTGTTTCCAATTAGTTAAAATTGGTACGTAATACAATGAGGAGCAAAGTTAGGAGCAGGTTTATTTGTGAGTCAAGTAGATGATATCGTACACTTATAATTAAAAAGTTGTCGTTCATTGAAAGTGTACTATTGACTACACATTGACTAGGTTCGAAGTTTGCTCTTGATTATATTGTGGACTGTATATGTATGTATATTATATGAACTTGCTGCGAAGAGTTGTACATTTTAAGAGCTGGGCAAATGTAAAACTTCTTCGCCTCTTGTAGGTACTACTTGATTTGATCTCTTGGTAACTAACAGTACAGTATAGTAGTTGAACTTAGATCATTATGCAAATACATTATTTATTATATTAAGTGTAGTGAAACTATGTTTAGTTTTGTATGGATATTATAGTGCAATTGATGAGTTGAAAATAAAATATTTCCAAGGGACATTATTCGTGTTTTATTGAAGTTCTTGCCTAAATTTTCTAATAATGATAACATAACATATGTTAACAGTTTATGTAAAAGGTGAACTTGTATATGATACATAGGTATCTATATATAGGATCTATACATCAGACACTATTCACCAGTTGTTTTGTGTACTTGTAAGTATTACACGTTCTATGTAATAACTGCAAATCAAATATCGAAAACTAAATCGATAGAGTCCGTCGCTGCATGTAAATTCACATTAGTGTCCAGATTTCGAATTTAATGGTACGTGACATAAACCACTGAATCAGTGAGAGTGCACTAACAGCAATTTACGTCAGAGATGATTAAGGCAAAAATGTGTTAGTTAAAAATGTATGCCCGACACAATCATCATACTTACTTTTTTTTGAAATAATAGCGCACGAATAATAAGGCATGAATGGCCGGCTTGACCGAAGTGATACCACGGCCTCACAGAAAACTGACGTGAAACAACGCTTGCGTTGTGTAACCGGGGGCCCAACTGCCCCCCCTTCCCCTTCCCTTCCAAAAGGCTGGTAACGCACTTGTAACACCTCTGATGGTCCGGGTTTCCATGGGCGGCGCCGATTGCTTACCATCAGGTAATCCGTCTGCACGTTTACCGACTTAACACGTTGCCTGTCCGTGCATTATATATAATGCATTTGTGGCTGTTGCTGTGACGTCCGTGCTTTATTTATAATGCACGAGTCTATTCTTTTTAAATGCAGTTTTGTAGATTAAACGTAAGAGCTACGTCTTTTATATTTCGGAGGCGTATGAGCAGTAAATTGGGAATAATAAAACACGAATGTCCCGCTCTGGACAGGCAACGTGTTAACCCATAAAAAAATGACCCACACTGTAAGATTATAATATGAACGATGAAACCAATAAATTACTCATAATAATTGAGTCTATATCACAAAATTTTGGCAATATACATATAATTTAATTAATATAATTATCCCATGCAAGAGGATATTGCCGTAAACCGAGCACAGTCCTAACAAACGTCGAATTATAGAAAAAATAGTAGGTCCTGCCTGCCTGCTTGTACTTGCAATTACTCGTCCGATATAGAAAAGTGAGTGCTGAAGTTAATATGACCCTCTGCCTACCCCTTTATACATTACTAGCGACCCTACCCGGCTTCGCACGCTCAACCTTTTTTAAAATTCACTCTATCTATTAAAAAAGTCGCATCAAAATCCGTTACGTACTTTTAAAGATCCAAGCATACATAGGGACAGACAGACGGCGGATAGCGACTTTGTTTTATACTATGTAGTGATACAGTGTGGCATTATGTTACATAAATCAGAGGTGAATGTTTATAAGTATTAGGGGTTATTTTCTAACAGTTTCAAAGCGATTAATCATAACCCGTTATCACGGTGTTCAAAAATGCTAAGAAGGTGAAAAGGGGATGAAATGCCACGCTACCGTAAAAATGACGTGAAAGCAAAGATACTACTAATTATGTAGATTTTTATTAGGTTAAGTTTGTTATTATGTACTACAGTAGTGATATGTTCTGCTTATCATTAAAGCTTAATTGCCTATATACCTACTAATAATACCGCATAAAAATAGCTTTTAGATAAGAGAAAATTTAAACGTATATTGTCATTTTTCGATGTTCAAACTGTTGAATGTATTAAAATGAAACCCTTTTTTGAAGGGGGAAAATCATGTAATGGCTTCTCCCGCCTGGGTGAGGCGAGAGACTCATACTCGTTCCTATTCCTGCACTTCAACCCGGAGCCCTCGGCAACTCGTTAAGTCCTCCGCGGCTCCGTATCCGCGTCAGCCCTATTGGGCTCCATGTGTGGTGGAGAACGAAACCCTGGCATAGTCTTATTAACTGACGTCACGAGATTTTTAATAATAAAATTGCCTAGTAAACGCTGATGTCCTTTCACTGAAAAAGTTATGCTCATTTATACAAAAAACAACTAGACACAGAAATTGAGTAATGTTATAAATAGAGATCGGTCGATAGCTAGGCTATTACGGACATCCGCCCCAAATGTGGGTGAATTTCGAAGTGTCCAATACAAATATCAGTGTTATTATTAAATAGGGAACAGAATAATAAGGGAAAAACTAAAATGGCTGCGCTAAAAATGTATTTTATTTCAACATCTTTAAAAGTTTAAGTGTGGGAGAGCCATGCTTCGGCACGAATAGGCCGGCTCGACCGGAATGATACATCAGCCTCAGAGAAAACCGACGTGAAACAACGCTTGCGTTGTGTTTCTTCGTGTAAATGAGGTTACCGGAGGCCAAATTACCGTCCCCCTCTCCCTAATCTCCCTATATCCTGAATGCCTAAAAGGCCGGTAACGCACTTGTTGACTTGTGAGCGACGCCGATTGCTTACCATCAGGTGATCAGTCTGCTCGTTTACCGGCTTATCCCATACAAATACATCTTTTGCTTGTGGGTCGTCCAGGTAAATCGATTAGGTACATTATTAGTACAAAAAAAGAATCTGACACATTTCTATAGCTTTGTTTTTACCTTCTAGAGGTATATAGTCCCATCAGAATGAATTGAATTAAGGTTAAAACTTATAGATTATCAAGACTTATCCTTGAAAATTCAAATAAGCTATGGAATCGATCAGTCCTGTACTAAACTAAAAAAAAATAAGTGCTTAGTTACACAAAAACATACATTCCCATTTGTAAAGACAGAAGATTTAATAATAAAATCGAATGTAGGTCATGATCGTAATAATTAAGTGGGAATCTAGAAACATTTGCGAACTTAAATATCGACTAACTAGGCCAGAGTGGTGAATGTTTTCACTCAGATTTCAGGTTATGTAAGCAATAGTTCTGCATCTGTTTTTTTTTAAGTTTATTTTGAGAAAGTTTTATAGTGCATCGCATACGATTATCTACTTTTTTTAACTTCAATTTTTAACCGACTTCAAAAAAAGGAGGAGGTTCTCAATTCGACCATATATGCTTTTTGTTTACAAAGTTTTTACAAAACTGTGTTGCGCATTTCAGTTACATCAACAACCTGTTGAGTAAAGTCTCTTCTCACGCGGAGAAGGTTTGAGTATTAATCACCACTTTTGCTCATTGCGAGTTGGCGATTTCACAAACTTATAATTAGAAATTATCTTAGAAAGTATATATAATTCGAAAAATGTCACATTGGTACTTGCCGTTGGTAGATTTCACTCTCATACATGAGAAGCGGGCGCCTTACCCTCCAAGCCACCACTACCCTAAGGTGTTTGTGTATTTTAGTAATTGTCTTAGTATTGTAGTTTTTTTTTGTTTTTTTTAAAACGTTGCCCCACACTAGGATTTTCTCCTGTGTCGTGGGTGCGTTTACAAACATACAAGTTCACATACACAATGACACCCAGACCCGAAACAACAATTTGTGGATCACACAAAGTGTTGTCCCGTGCGGGAATCGAACCCGCGACACGTTGCACGGCAGCCGGGTGCCCAGCCACCGCACCAACTGTGCATAAAAAAAACTGTGTAGTCTAAAAAACTGTTTTAAAATTAATCATATTAGATATTTACTATCTCGGTCAACCTCGTATCGCCGATGGCTAAAAGTGACGGTCCAAATATACTAGCGAAAATTGTATGTCACGCTTCTTCCAATAAGTATTTCACTATTTGTTGTGAACACAAATCCAAATGATCAAAGATTAGCCTAATTCGAATCATAAATGAGCAACAAGTTAATATTATAGTGAATAGTGGTAATAAATCATATTCGTTGCTAAAAGGACGTGTTCTATTTCTCTCCCGAATCGAACCTTAATACATAGCTTTGTTTATATTATGTAAGCAATTGTGGTTGAGATAACAAAAAACATACTTATCCTTACTAATATTATAAATCAGAAAGTGAGTTTGTTTGTTTGTTCCGCTTTCACGCCGTAACTACTAAACCGATTGCTTTGAATTTTTGCAGACGTAAAGTTATAAGTCTGGATTAAATAATAGGGTACTTTTTATCCCGGAAAAATTTGATTATCTAGAGGGAAAACGAAATTATTGGTATAGATGGCGCTATGGCGTATATGTCACATAGGCTACTTTTTATCCTTTTGTGACGCGAGCGAAGCTGCGGGTAAAAACTAGTTTGATCATAAAAAGAATATTATAT